CTTATAGAAAATGCCAAAGATAATTGCAAACTTTCTTTTAATTTTGCAGTAAATGTATGTGTGGATGATTCAAATGTCCACCTCGGATTCGTCTACAGAAGCGGGCGTGATGAGCCCAATTTCCCTAATTTCAGTAAGGGAAAGTTTAGTGTTTAATATCAGCGCCAACTACCTCAAACATCCACAAGAAAAAATCTAGCAGAGCCAAATCACAACTTTATGGAGGCCCATTCACAGTTCAATTTATCTTCTTGGATATCTCAAACGCATCTTTCAGACTATCAACACCCCTTGGTAACAACGTGCTTCTAGGCTCAAAACATTCCCAGTTGACCCCAAAAAACCCTCTACTGCGGCAGATGCCCAAAAAACTTACCGGCAACTGGATTACAGCCGGAGAACGGATCGCCCTCAAACCCTGACTGGCAGCTGCAGATGGGCCGATGGTTGACCACGCTGCATTCGGCGTTGAAGCCGCAAGAACCCGCGCATGGATCCTTGCACTTCTGATTGGTGCAGGCCAAGGTGAGTGGACAGTCCTGGTCAATGGAGCATTCTGGACGGCAATTGGGCGCAACGCCGAACATCCCCGGAAGACACGAGCACACTGCGCGATTGTTGAGTGGTTGGCAGTCCGCGTTCGGCCCACACGGCGATGGTATGCATGGAGTTGGAGTGGGCGTTGGTTCCCCGCGCTCTGAAAATGCATTGAGCTGCTGAGCAGTTCACTGGGCTCAGGAAGCCTTTTACCTTCTGGTCTGCAGACAATGAAAGGGTCTCCGACGTAGTTGGGCGGGCAGCTGCAAATCGGGTTGTGGTTGGCAACCTGGCATCGGGCCCTGGCGCCGCATGTTCCCGGACAGGGATCCTGGCAGCGCTGATTAATGCAGGCCTGGTCTGAGCTGCACTCGGAGCTCACCAGGCATTCGGGCCTGCAGCTGGGCGGCTGTCCAAAGTACCCCACTTGGCACGAACATATTGCTTTGTCATTGCGTTCGCGACAGACGCTGTTTGGTCCACACGGCGACGGCTCGCATGGCTTGGGCCCTTAAAGTACCACAATTAGCTGGTCAAGTATGGACTCTTTGATTAGGTGGCTTACTCTCGACCACTGCAGGTGGCCTGCACCCGGTCTGCGGGTCTCCGACCAGGCCTCTGGCGCAAGTGCAAACTGGCACGTGGTTGAAGACGCTGCATTCGGAATTGATGCCGCAGAGTCCCTGGCAAGGGTCTCGGCAATGGCGCGACAGACAGGCCAGATGAGTGGCACATTCGGAGTTGATGGTGCATTCAGGCCTGCAGCCTCCAGAGTAGGGGTTTCCGATGTAGGGGGGAATGCAGACGCACTTCGCCGCTCCCTCGCTTACAGAGCACTGGGAATTCTCCCCGCAGGGCGATGGGTTGCACGGGTCTACAGCCACCACAGCCACTTTGGTGCAGCCGACAAAAGCATCGCCTGCAAAGCATCGCGGTGTTGATAAATAAACCACCCGTTAGTCCACACTCCAAGCACGTTGCTACATACCTTCATATCCAGATAAACAGCTACAGAACGGATTGTGCCCCACGACATGGCACTGAGCATTCGGTCCGCAGCTGGACACGCACGGATCTACGCATTTCTCGTTCACACAAGCTTGATGTTGAGGACACTCCTGACTGAGCATGCATTCCGGCCTGCAATAGGGCGGGCTGCCAATGTAATTCGCTATGCAGGAACACACTGGCCGGCTCTCCTTTATCTGGCAAATCGAGTTCTGGCCACACGGAGTGGGCACACATGGATTTATCGGTTCCTCAGTTGTAGATGGCAGTTCTTCCACCACGGGCGCTTGGCGGCAGTTCAAGAACGGATTGCCCTCCAGTCCTTCTGGGCAGCTGCAGATCGGGTTGTGGTTGATCACCGTGCAAACCGCTCCAGACCCACAAGTGCCTGCGCACGGGTCGCCGCATTTCAGATTAATGCAGGCCTTCGTTTGGGGACATTCTGATGTTGAAATGCACTCGGGTTTACAAGCGGGGGCTACGCCCTGGTAGTTGGGCAGGCAAGAGCAGGTGGCGTATCCTTGATGCGAAACCGAGCAGCGGCTGTAGGGGCCGCAAGGCGTCGGGTCGCAAGGGTTTTGAGGCGCCGGCGCCGGTAGGCTGGGGATTACAGCCTTGTAACAGGCCACAAACGGATCTCCTGTATGTTGAGGGGGGCAGGAGCAGATGGGGATGTGGTTGACCACGTCGCATTGAGCGCCCACTCCGCACACATCGCTGCAAGGGCTGGAGCATTTGGCGTTTATGCACGCTTTGTCCAATGGGCAATGGGGGTTGATAACGCATTCGGGGCGGCAGGCCAGATAGGGGTCTCCGAAGAAGCCCCGCTTGCAAACGCAGATCACCCCGGTTCCTTTCTCTAGGCAGTCGGCGTTCACTCCGCACCGCGGGTAGTCGCAACTGTCCTTGGGGGAATCTAAGAGAAAATCACTCTTAAGCACGCACTCCTACAACAGGCCAAACAACTTACCAATCGTAAGAGGAACACACTGCTGGAACGGGTCTCCGACCAGTCCATACGGACAGCTACAGATGGGCGTATGCGAAACCACAGAGCAAACAGCATTCACTCCGCATGAGCCTGGACATGGGTCGATGCAGTTGAACCGCATACAGGCTTGGTGGAACGGACAGTCCGCATTGGTCAAACACTCCGGCCGACACTGAGGGTTGTAGACGGCCTCCGGGCCCAAGCACGGGTCGCAAACAGCAATCTGCGTTCCATAGATGCTGCACTCCATACTGCCGCAAGGCGAAGGCGTGCAGGGCTGGATCGAGGTGTTGGTATGCTTGGGTGTGTCTTCAATGGGAGGTTGGATGCATTGCAAGAACGGGTCTCCGATAAATCCCTCCAAACACAGACAGGCTGCTGTATGGTCTCTAACTTGGCAGAAGGCGTTCACTCCGCACAGCTGTCCTTGCGAGCACGGGTCTTTGCAATGTCGCTCCAAACACGCCTTGTTAATCGGACAGTCCGAGTTGATCAGACACTCGGGTTGGCAGCCGATCTGCGGATCCCCATGGAAGTCTGGTAGGCAGGAGCAAACAGCGCGATTGGAGATGCTCTGGCACACAGTGTTCAGCCCGCAGGGGTTGGGCATGCACGGGTCATGTGGCGGAAGAATCTCCGGTATCTTGAAGCACCTAATCACAGGATTTCCCGTTAGCCCAGACTGGCAAGAGCAGACAGGATGGTGTTTCTCCACGCGGCAATCGGCGTTTACTCCGCACGAGCCTGGGCAAGGATCCCGACATCTGTACGAAATGCAGGCCTGGTGATCGCCACAGTTTTCATCCACCACGCACTCATAGCCGAAGCAACCGAGAGGCCCGGTCGGATCACCTCCCATGCCCTCCGGGCAGCGGCACAAAGAGTTTCCATCGGGAGTGATCACACATTGCGCTCCAGGGCCGCAAGGATTCGGCACACAAGGACTCGGAGGCTGAATCCTACAGCCAGTGTAGGGATCCCCAATAAATCCAGACCGGCAAAAGCATTGTTCCTCGTTGTTGGAGTTGTAACAATCCGCGTTAGCCCCACAAGGCCCCGGACTGCACAAGGGCTTCTCAATGGCGCAGCCCCGGAAGGGATTTCCATTAGTTCCATAGGGACAAGAGCACACAGGCTCCCCGTGCGGGTCGCAAAGGGCGCCAGCCCCGCACGGGTTGGGCTCGCAAGGGTTTCTGCTCTCGATGCAACCTCTGATGGTGTTGGGACTCTCCAGGAAACCAGGCAGGCAGGTGCATTTGGCAAAGCCATTGGCCAATATGGAGCATTGAGTGTTGGGCCCGCAGGGCGACGGATCGCATGGATTGCTGGGCAAACTGCATGGCACTTGGGGGGGCGTGCCTTCGAACTCCGGCAGGCAGAAGCAGACGGCGTTTCCTCCAACCACTCGGCAGCCGGAGTTGGGGCCGCAAGGATTCGGGGAACACTCATCGCCTTCTGGAACTGGAAACAAAGCGCTAGTACACTTGTAGGGGGGCGATTTTAAGGGAAACATACTGCAGTTCTTGAATGGGTTTCCAGTGAGGCCCTTCGGGCAGAAGCAGATGGGGTTTCCATTGTCCAGCTCGCAAAGCGCGTTGGTGCCACATGGGTTGGGGTCGCATGGATCAGAGGGCGGTTGGCAAGACACTCGCGCATCGCCTTGATACCCTGGGGGGCACTGGCATTGGGGCTTGTGCTGGATCACGTCGCATATGGCGTTGATTCCGCAGTTGCATGGTGAGGCGCATTGCTGGTTGAGGCAGGCTTCGTTAGAAGCGCACTCCTCATCGCGTCTGCATCCTAAGACTCCTAGGCACTCCACGTAGGCGTTTCCCTCATAGCCTAGTAGGCAATAACCAAATTACTCACTGACTGGGCTAGTAAAGTGGGAAACACTAAACTGACCTGGCAGGCAGACGCAAGTCGCCCCATGGTTCTTGGGAACGCACTCCGCGTTCTCTCCGCAAGAGTCTTCAAAGCAGGGATTCATGCATCTTCTGTTCAAACGATCGCAGAGTTTATTCGGAGGACAGTCCTCGTTGTATTGGCAAACTGGGGGACCGTTATCGGCAACTGGAAATTTCAGGGGTAGTGAACAGGCCGAGCCTACGCCGTACTGTGCCTCACCAGGTGCACAACCGACGAAACCATTCCCTTGGTATCCCTCCTGGCAGCTGCAGTCGCATCCGTGGTTGGTGTTGATGCAAACGGCGTTTTGCGCGCAAGGATTATGGACATCGCAAGGTCTTTGGCATGCTCTATCTATGCATGCTTCACTAATAGGACAGTCCTCGTTTGCTGTGCAACCCACTAATGAAGAAGGTGCGGAGGAGAGGACGCAAAAGACGTAAGATAAGTATTTACATTAAACATTGGGGAAATACAGCGCCCAACAAAGAAGAACATCGAATTTACATCAACGTATTTACATAGAGAATGGGCCAAACTATGCGAGATGCTAACTGGCTGGAACTTTTGTACTAATTTTGAAGCTTTTCAAAACGGGGTTAAACGTTACTGTTATTGGTTGATTAATCATTACTTGGTTTATTTGGTCTTTAGTCAATTGTTGCTGGCGTTGACACATTGTTCGTATATGTACATCTGGGGGCCATGCTGAGTTATGGGTGTTCCGCAACTTGAGCAATGATTAAGGACGAGGCGCGGCCTATTTCTCATATCTCAAAGTGGAGCGTGCTCAATTCAGACCAGCCTCCACTCAATCAACAGAAAGCTGGTGATAAAGGGGAGTGGGAAAATGTTCAAGGGGCCTCGCTTTGCGTTCGGTTACCCAATCAGATGACCTTTATCAGGCTAAAGTGGTGGAACAGTCCATGACTGGCAGCATGGCTCTTTGGCAAAACGAAGGCGCTCTTACTTGTGGGCGATTTGGAACATTTAATAGCCGGGTTTCCTTCAAATCCCATTGGACAAGTGCAAATGGGCCGGTGCATTTTAGCTTGACAACGCGCCCCTGCCGCACAGGCACTGGTAAATTCGCACGGATCCTGACAAATGGACATGTAACACGCCTCTGACTCGAGACAGTCCATATCAGACTCGCAAGGTTTGGGCGCCCTTTCGCCAGGTGGTTCTATTAGGAATGTTAACTGAATTAGTACAGTTTAGTACATTAATGCAACATGAGCTTTAAGGGGGCTTAAGGGGTCTTTCACGTTGCTGAAATGTAGCGCGGTATTTACATTAATTGTACTATTTTGTTTATCAGCACACCACAACCATGCAAAAAAGGTTGGCGCTCCTCAAAGGACTTGTTTGGCTTTGAAGCAATCTCAGAGTCTGTGGCTTGGAGGGAGGAGCGCCACCCTTCAGCTCACCGTAACTGTAATTGATTAACATTGTGCTAAATGGTTAAATCAATCTAGAATTACAACTGTTTACATACAAAAATCATACAAATCAATGATACCTTCTGAACGTTCGCATAGTGGGAGTGGACACTGAGATTTTTCTGGCCCACGCAAATAACTCAACGGCAAAAAATGGTCCTTCTAACCGGATTGGAAATTCTCGCCAAACTTTCGCTTTTGATAAGTAGCATAAATCTCAGTTTCCGCTGCCACAATGGCACGGAAATCAGCTTGCAACTTGAGTAATATTACAATACCTGGATAGCACATCCTGTGAGGATCCCCGTAATGGTGAGGCGGGCAAGTGCAATCAGCTGCATGATTCTCTGCAGTACACTTGGCGTTAGCACCACATAACCCTCCGATAGTGCACACGTTAATGCACTTTTTAAATATACAGACGTCCGCGTCTTCGCAATCATTGTCGACGAGGCATTCTACCGTGCGATTTGTTATTCCATTGGTGTAATTGCTAATCGATATCACACTGTGATTGGTCGCGATTACAACCGTTGTGGTTAAAACTGGTTCAGTTGTGGCTGAAAGTGTAGTAGGTTCCGTCGCAATCTCCAGTGCTTCAGTAGAATAATCCGTAGGCTCTCTGAGCTCCGATTGTTGAGTGGTCTCCTCATGCTGCGACACTTTGCTGACCGTAGTGGTTCCCACAGTGGTCAATTCCTCCAGTTGCTCAGTGGACATCTGAACAGTATGTCTGACTGCCTCAGTGCCTCCGCGTGCACTTTCGGTAGTAGAAGCGGCCTCCTGCATGGTATAGGCAGGAGTTGTGACTTCCACCACCTCGTTTTGGCCGATGTTGATGGTAGTTCTACCCAAAGTCACAATTTCCTCCACTTCTTTAGTTGAAAGCACCGTGCTGAACGTGGAAACATCCCCCAGATACTTGATGGTGGTGGTTTCCCTATAGCTTTCAGTGGTGCTCAGCTCCGGTTCCCCAGTAGGGGTAGTGAAAGTGATCGAGTGAACCAAGGGAGTTGTTGCCGTAGAAGTTTCCACTGGATTGAATGTTCTACCGGGGGGTTGCTGAGACATTTCCATTGGCCTTCCAGTGGTTGAAACTGGAGGAATCCCAGTCTGCGGGAACTTAACTGTAACTGCTTCAACAGTGAAACCGGCTGCAGTCTCCATAGTTGCAGTATAACTAGGAGGAGCTGGGGTTGTGCGGTTTTCACGCCAGGAGGACGCGCCAGTTGGCATGAGTGCATCCATGGAGGGAATCCTACCCGAGCTGGAAGATTCCTTTTCAAAGACCGTAAAGTACTTCTCAGTAGTGGGAGACAGGGTCGAAGGATAGTACGTAGTAAACTCATCCCCATTCTGCTTATTTCTGTACGAAAGAGTTTCTTGCGGCAAAGCGTGCGCCGTTGTCCCACTGGCAGCTTCAGAAGAAGCGCTAACATTTTCCGTTGTTATGCCTTCTGGAAGATCAGAGGTTGCATTTTGCTTTCCGGATCCAGTAGTGGTTTCCCCGACTTCTGTTGTGAGTCTTTCAGTGATTATTTGCTCAGTAGCTAACTTCGTCAATGGCTCCTCAGTGCTCTCAGACGTCTTCTGAGTACCTACAAACGGTTTCTCAGTCACCAACTTTGGAGCCGCTGTGGCGCCAAAAGTGGTTGAACCTTCACCGCCAGTAGTTGTTTCTCTAGATGTACTGAAAGGTTGATGGGCAGGGGTTTCTCTGCTTTTCTCTGTAGACACGAGCGTGGTGTAACCTGTGGTAGGCTCGTGTGGACTCGGGCTAGTTCCCTTATTAGCAAACATGCCCTCAGCAGTTCTACTAGTGGATCTTTCCGCAGTACTTCCCTGGGTAGATTCCGTACTTCCACCTTCGCTCACAGGCTCTTCAGTGGCAGCGTTAGGTAAGATTTCACCTGTAGCTGAAGATGCAGTTGTTCCTACTCCTACAGTGACAGTCCCATATTCCACCTCTAAACCAGTAGTCACTTCGTGCTCTGCAGCTGTTCCAGGGGACATAAATGTCGTACTTTCACCCAATGTAGAGATAGTACTGATTGTTCCAGCAGTGGAATACTCCGACCCCCTTCCCTCACTTTCAGTAGTTGAAGTTACTCCAGGTAATGGTTGTATAGTAGGCTCTACAGCCTCAGAAGTGCTGGCCGGGTAGGCTAAAGTAGATTTCGTGTCCTCAACTGTGGTGGAATAACTGGGTTGTTCTTCAGTAGTGATCCTTCTGGTAGTTTCAGGCTCTCTGGAAGAGATTTCTGAAGCACCACCAGAAGTTGGTGCGATGGATTCTTCTGAAACTTTAGTAGTGGCTTCCACGATGGACGAAGCTCTTGTTCCACTGGAAACAGTGCTCTGATCCGGGGTAGTGAGTTTGGTTGACTCAGTGGCTGAAGGCTCCTTAGTTCCAAAGTCTGGTTCGAAGCTAATTGGCATTTCCGTAGACGGTCCGTTTGTTGAGGTTCTTTCAGAGGATTCAGTCGATCCCGTTGTAGGCGTCCAAGTGGAAGGTGCAGAGCTAATCATTCGCTCAGTGGTTTCCCAACCTTCTTCAGCAGTTGTAGAAATCTTGCCTGTTTGCTGAACTGTCCAAAATCCACCGGTGCTGGATGTAGAAGGATGCTCAGAAGACTCAGCAGAACTCGTGGTTATTTCCTCAGTAGTCTGCGATTCATCTGGAAGTCTTGTGGTGTAGAATGCTGGTCCAGAAGAGGTTGTTTCTCTTTCAAGTCCCTGGACAGTTGATAAGCCTCCAGGGCTGGACTTCGGCGCAGTTGTAAACGTGGTTTCATAAGCGTTGGGTTTGGTTGTACCAGTCAAGCCAGCTTCCGTTGAAGTTGAATATTGAGAAGAAATTCCAGTAGTTGATGCCAAATGTTCAGTTGTAGTGTGCAACGTAGACCTCTGGACTTCTTCAGTAGTTGGAGCCACAGTTGAAGTTGCAACTCTTGCATTTTCCGTACCAGCAGCGGTTGTTAGTGTTGACTCTTCAGTAGCATGCTTTTCGCCTGGGATTGTAGAGTTTTCAGGTTCAGATGCTTCCATTGCTGGTACTGTAGGGCTTTGAATGGCTTCTACAGTCTCAGTGACACCAGCCTCTGCAGAAGTTGCGTATTGTTGAGTCGTTGCCTCGTTTTCTATTCCTTGCATTGTTGAAATTACTCCTGGAGTCTCATAGGGCTCTTTTGTTGATGTTGCTGTCGTGTGCGTTGATTCAGTAGTTGAAGCCTCAAAAGCATCAGACCCGGTTGAACCAGTAGAGGTTGAATACTGTGAATAACTCTCAGTAGTATATGCCGATTTAGTTGACTTTTCTTCAAGCTCCTCACTTGGGAGCTTCTCTGGTGTAGTTTTAGATGCTTCGTTAGATGGTAACGTTGAAGTTTGGGTGGTTTCAGCTGGAGGAACCTCACTTGAGCTGGTCTCGGACGCTTCTTTAGAAGAGACTGTTGATTCTGCAGAGGAAGACACTGTCGTTCCTTCATAAGTACTTGTTCCTGTTGCACCTGTAGGTGACCCTGAAGGTAACGGTGAATATTCGGAAGATTTTTCTGTGGTAAAACGCAATGTGGTTTGTTCCTGTCCAAGTTCTTGTGTAGTTGAAAAAATTTGCAGCGTTACTTCAGAGACACTCTTGGTAGAAACGGTTGATGCTTCCTCGGCCTTCAATGTTGTAGTATCAGCGTAGGTGGCTTTGGAGGGCTTGGAGTTCTCTAAAGGTTTTTCTGTAGCAGACGCTAAAGTTGAGAATTCCCCGGGAGTGAGTTCTGAAACCCTTTCGGGGTGTTCTGTGGATAGTTGCTTTGTTTCTGTCGTTGGAACTACGGTGGTTGTTTTACTGGAAACTTCCGCTTCCAAGGTAGTTGAAGCCTTTTCAGTGACAAATCCTAGTGTAGTAGATTGATTGGAAGAAGCTGTTGAAGTTATCATTGATTCACCCATTGTGCCATGAGTAAACGGAGCTTCAGCAGGCGTGGTATACTGTAAAGGTCCCTCAGAGCTATAACTGGAAGTCGCTGTTTGCTTCGCCAATTCTTCAGTTGTTGAGAATGTTTCTGGGCCAAACTCAGAAGTTTCTTTAAATGAGAAAGTTGATGTTCCCCCTGCTTCAGAAGCAGCACTAAAAGCTGGCGTTGTAGTTCTAGTAGCGTGAGCTAATGTTGTGGCTTCCTTAGCTATTCCTTCAACAGTTGGAACTCCTGGAACGCGTTCAGAGGAGCCTTCTGATGCTTCTTCAGGAGTAAATGCAGTACTGGTGCCTTCTTCCATAGCTGATGAAGACCGCGACAATTTTTCAGTGGTGAGAATCATCTGTGTGGTAGTTTCTTTTGCTAATTCCTTTGTTGATTCCATCAACTCGCTCTTTTCGGTTTTTTCACTCGCTGTTGATTCTTGTTCAGGAGTGGTACTTTGTACGTTCTGGCCGGTGATAGAGGAGATCGGCGTGTGTGAATATGCTTCAGTTCCAGTTTCAGTTACCAGGCTTTCAGAACTATATTCAGGAAAAACTGGAGAGGTTGAACCTGAAGATTTGATGGAAGTTTGCTCGTAAACATACGTTACAATTGGAGAAGTAAAGAAATGCGAAGTTTGATCTGAGGAGGTTTCAAATACTGCTGGTTTAGTGGACGCACTCAATTCACTTTCTGTTGCTTCTCGGGTAGTCGGAATGTATTCTGTAGTTGCTGTCGAGGTAGAACCGGTTACAAGCGTGGCTTCAGTAGCTAAGCTACTTGTCGTTTCACTTTTGCCATTGTCCCATTCAGTTGTATGCCTAGTTTCAGCTCCTTCAGTCCTCATTGAATAAGTTGTTGTGTAGCTGGGGATGATTCCCTCAGTAGCAGTTTGCTCAGCTTCAACCCCAGTAGTACTCAGTTCTAAACCTTCAGTAGGTTCTCCTGAACTGGACTCTGGAATCTTGGCCCCTTTTTCTGTTGCTTTGGACTGTTGAGTGGGATACTGTGTGGTAACGAACTCACTTTCAAAGGTCGTGCCTGTTGTTGCCGCTACCAGCTCTGGGCTTGCTTTTGTTGAAGCTGTAACAGCTTCAGATTGGGGCGAAGTTTGCTCAGTAGTTCCCCAGGGCGTTGTAGACGATGCAACCAAAGTTCCTGGTGTGGTGGAAACAGCTTCGTTTTCTTCGATAGTCGTTGGTTGCCCTGATGCCACTGTACTTTGCCTGATTTCATAAGAGTCCACTTCAGTAGTATGGTGGGCTGTCGCTGTAGTCGGTTGCTGATCTGAGCTTTCAGGTAAGGAATGTTCAGTTGTAGTTGGACCAACTGGTTTTGTTACTTCCCCAGAAACTGTAGGTGGCAAAGAAGCGGTGGAAGTTCGAGAAGTTGATTGCCCTTCCAGTGCAGGTGAAAACTCTATAGGCGATGCCGTTTCTGTGGTAGTGTATGTACCAAGTTCTTCTGTGCTGCTGCTGGTTTCAGAGGAAATTGGCTGTTGAGTTGTGCCAAGCCTTCCTTCTGTAGGTTGCCCAATCTCCATAGTAGTTGCAGCAGCAGTTTGCGATGGAAATGCTGTAGAAGTTGCCGATTTAGTGCTGGGGACTGTCTCGCCAGTAGTAGTGTAATCTACAAATCCTGGTGTGCTGCCGCCAGTTTCCGTAGCAATTGGTTGTTGAGTTGTGCCACGTTTTCCTTCTGTAGTTCCTCCAAAATGCGATATTTCCTTTTGATCATCTCGCACAGCAGCCGCAGGAGTAGTTTGTCTGAAATACTCTGTAGGCGTTGCCGTTTCTGCATTCGGAGCTGTTGGTTCTGTAGGCGTGTATGCCCCAAGTTCTTCTGTGCTGCCGCCAGTTTCAGAAGCAATTGGTTGTTGAGTTGTGCCACGTTTTACTTCTGTGGTTCCTCCAAAATGAGATATTTCCTTTTGATCATCTTGAACAGCAGCCGCAGGAGTAGTATGTATGAAATACTCTGTAGGCGTTGCTGTTTCTGCACTGAGAGCTGTTGGTTCTGTAGGCGTGTATGCCCCAAGTCCTTCTGTGCTGCCGGCAGGTTCAGAAGCAATTGGCTGTTGGGTTGTTCCGATTTTGCCTTCTGTAGTTTCCCCAACATGAGATGTTTCCGTTTGATCATCTCCCACAACAGTGGCAGAAGTTGTTTGCCTGAAATGCTTGGTAGGCGTTGCTGTTTCTTCACTGGGGGCTGTTGGTTCTGTAGGCGTGTAGGCACCAAGTCCTTCTGTGCTGCCGCCAGTCTCAGAAGCAAGTGGCTGTTCAGTTGTTCCAATTTTGCCTTCTGTAGTTTCCCCAACATGAGATGTTTCCGTTTGATCATCTCGCACAACAGACGCAGTAGTAGTTTGCCTTAAACGTTCTGTAGACGTTGCCGTTTCTGCACTAGGGGCTGTTGGTTCTGTAGGCGTGTAGGCACCAAGTCCTTCTGTGCTGCCGCCAGTCTCAGAAGCAAGGGGCTGTTCAGTTGTTCCAATTTTGCTTTCTGTAGTTTCCCCAACATGATATGTTTCCGTTTGATCATCTCGCACAGCAGATGCAGTAGTAGTTTGCCTTAAACGTTCTGTAGGCGA